ATTTTAAAGTTTAATTTCTCCTAAGGTTTAAGGACTATCTAAGGTCTGTCCTTGAAGGGAACACCAATTTCCAAAGGAATCTAATAATAGCAAATGTCAGTAATTCATTTATTAATTCACTAAATATTTATTGAGCATTACTGTGCACCCACTCCTCTAGTACATACCAAGGATACTGTGGTAAATAAGACAGGTGTAGTTCCTGTTCTTGCAGAACTTTGTGGGGAATGGAGAATACAAAGACCTCTATTTATAAAAGCCCAGTGACCGAAGAGCAGAATGACCAGAACGACTGATCACCCAGTTGCTATCACATGCACTGACCACCAGGGGGCAGAGACTCAATGCAGGAGCTTCCCCCTGGTGGTCAGTGCACTTCCACAGTGGAAGCATCTGACCGGTAGGGCGGGTCCACAGCCACTCAGCTGACTGGGATGAGTGGCACTTCCACAATGGGCCATTCCCCAAAGGCCATGCCCCCCACCAGTGCATGAATCCTATGCATCCAGGGCTCTAGTAAAGAAATAAATGTATATATTTACAGATAGTGGTAAAGGCTATAAAAATTAAAAGAGAGTAAAGAGATTGAATAACAGAAATGGTGCTATTTTTAACATATTGGTGATGAAAACATTTTCTGAGAAGGTAATTTGAGCAGAGATCTGAATAAAATGGAGTGAGTTATGTAAATATGTTTGCTGTGCTTGAGAAGCAATAGGAGGCCAGTTTGGGTGGAGTAGAAAGGTGGAGAGTAGCAGGGATGAGATATGAGAGTTATATAGAGGTTTACAGACTATGAGGAAGATTTGGGATTTTATTTAAAGTGTGATGCTGTACTATTGGAAGGATGAGACCAGGGGAGAACCACAATCTCATTTTTAAAGTATTATGTTGGCTGTTGTGTATAGAAAATTGGTACCCAGCAAGAGGGTAAGCAGGAAGACTAGTAAAAGCAAACACTGTTATCTGATGACCTGAAATGTATCCAGTAATAGTTTAATGATGTTTAACACAAGCCACTCATTTTTAGCCTATCATGGAGAAGGTCTGGTATTTATATAACTCTGTTTTCAGTTCAAATCTTTCTCAGAGATGAGTAATTTAATGAAGGTCACTGAAAACATAAATCCTAGCCTTTTAAGATGAACATAATTTAATTTAGTGTCTTTGAAAGTTGGTTTCCATTTGCTTAAAATTCTTTCTTCTGATAAAAATTGGTTTCTATTTGTTTAAAATGTTTCCTTCTGATTAAAAACAGTAAAAATGTTTTTTGTAGAAAATTTGGAAAGCAAAGAGAAGCAAAAGGAAATAAAAGCACTTATAATCCTATGATATAGAATTTTTCCCCTGGCATTTTAAGTTTTCTTTTTTTCTTTTTTTCTTTAAGGTATTACATATGTGTCCTTATCCTCCCTTTGCCCCCTCACTCCCCCCCCCCCCCCATGCCCTCACCCTCCTGGTGTCTGTGTCCATTGGTTAGGCTTATATGCATGCATACAAGTCCTTTGGTTGATCTCTCCTCTTTACCCCTCACACTCCCATACCTTCCCTCTGAAGTTTGACAGTCTGATCGATGCTACTCTGTCTCTGGATCTGTTTTTGTTCATCAGTTTATGTTGTTCATTATATTCCACAAATGAGTGAGATCATGTGATATTTATCTTTCTCTGACTGGCTTATTTTGCTTAGGTAATGTTCTCCAGATTCATCCATGCAGCTGCAAATAGTAAAAATTCCTTTTTTTACTGCAGCATAGTATTTCATTGTGTAGATGTACCACCATTTTTAATCCACCCATAAACTCAAAATGGATAAATAACTTAAGCATAAAAAAGGAAACCATAAAAATATTAGAGGAATCCACAGGCAGCAAAATCTCAGACATATGCTGAAGCAAAATCTTCAATACAGCTCCTAGGGCAATGGGAACTAAAGAGAAAATAAACAAATGGGACTACATCAAAATAAAAAGCTTCTGTACAGCAAAAGAAACCATCAACAAAATAAGAAAGTCTACTGTATGGGAGAACATATTTGTCAATGTTATCAGCAATAAGTATTTAATTGCCAACATTTATAGGGAACTCATACAGCTTTAACAAAAGGAAGATAAACAACCCAATCAAAAAATGGACAATGGATCTAAATAGAATCTTTTAGAAAGAGGACATAAGGAAGGCTAAAATCCATATGAAAACATGCTCAAAGTCACTAATCATCTGAGAGATGCAAATCAAAACAACAGTGAGTTACCATCTCACACTTGTCAGAATGGCTAACATCAACAAGTCAACAAACCAAACGACAAGTGCAGGCAAGAATACAGAGAAAAAGGAACCCTCTTGCACTGCTGGTGGGAATGCAAACTGATGCAGCAGCTGTGGAGAACAGTATGGAGTTTCCTCAAAAAACTAAAAATGGATCTCCCATTTGAACCAGTGACCCCACTTCTAGGAATATATCCCAAGAAACTAGAAATACCAATCAGAAAGGATATATGCACCCCTATGTTCATAAAGGCACAATTCACCATAGCTAAGATTTGGAAACAGCCTAAATACCCATCAGCAGATGAGTGGATTAGAAATATTTTTAAAATTAACTCGACAGTTATTTATCTTAGCAACATTTCTGGAATATTGCTCTTTCTACTTTTCTTTTATAAATGAGGATACATAGGCCCAAATGGAATTTAATGACATGTTCAGAATCACCAGAGTAGTTATTGTCATATTCTTACTGCTCTCTTGAGGTTGTCAGCCAGCCTTTAAAGAGAGGGAGAACATTGTCAATTATCAAGCTCCAGATGTAGAACAGTGAATTAACTAAATATGGCATGACAAAGAAAATTAACAGACAGAAATACAATCCTTTTCCCCTTTCCATTTTTTTTAGGCCAGTGTTCTTATGTCATGTTGCAACATTTTGATCATTGTGACCCATATATTTCCCCAGGAAAAGAGATTTTTCCCCTGAGATTTAAATATATTTTATTGATTTTTTACAGAGAGGAAGAGAGAGGGACAGAGAGTTAGAAACATCAATGAGAGAGAATCATCAATCAGCTGCCTCTTGCACACCCCCTACCAAGGTACATGCCCTTGACTGGAATCGAACCTGGGACCTTTCAGTTCCCAGGCCGACGCTCTATCCACTGAGCCAAACCGGTTTTGACATTCCCCTGAGATTTATAACAAACTATAAAACAGTAGATGTTTCCATTTAGCACTGTTAGCATCAAATTTTATTTACATAGAACATGGTAAACATTATGCCCAGAAAAGGAGTAATTCTTCACCTCTGATCTGACTTCCCTAAGAAGATAACCTTTTATTTTTTTAAATATATGTCTAGACTTCTTCTGAGCTAGATTTCTGCATAAACCTTGTTTTCTGGCTTTATTTTAATTTTTAAAAATATCATTTTATAACTTTTCTACTTGTGGTAGAGACGAATACACTTTCCCTTACAATGTCTATCCTGCATTATAATGAAACTAGAGACCTGGTGCACGAATTTGTGCATGGGTGGAGTCTGGCCAGTCCACCCCGATGGGGGCCCATCAGGCCAGGCTGGTGGGCTATTGCAAGATCATTTTTGAAATTCATCTATGTTGTGTACAATTTTACTTCATTTATTTCTACTGTTGTATAATATTCATTGAATTACTATTATTGAATTAGCACACTGTAATTTATTTGTTCATTCTTCTTACAGGCATTTGGCTTGTGTGAAGAGTTTTGCTGTTATTAACAGTGCTGCTATAACGTTCTTATATAAGTCCTGTGCAAGAATTTATCTCTGTAGATACATAGCAGTAGAATTGCTAGGACATAGAGTACACACATATGAAATTTTATAGGGTCATACCAAACTGTTTTGCAAAATTGTCATAGCTATTTTCTTTTTCACCAACAGTGTGTGTAGGAAGGCATTCCTCATTGCTCTGAGTCCTTTCTAACACTTGGTATTATTCAACTTAAAACACTTAGCCAGGCTGGTGATATGAAATGGTAAACCATAATGATTTGAATGGACATGTCCCTAATTAATGAGGTTGGACATGTTTTTAAAAAATATATATTTTTATTGACCTCAGAGAGGAAGGCAGAGGGAGAGAGAGATAGAAATATCAATGATGAGAAAGAATCATTAAGTGGCTGCCTTCTGCATACTCCCTACTATGGATCAAGCCCAAAACCTGGGCCTGTGCTCTTGACCAGAATTGAAGCCCAGACCCTTCAGTCTGCAGGCCGATGCTCTATCCACTGGGCCAGACCCACTAGGATGAGATTGGATATCTTTTCATAAGTTAAGGGTGTGTGCCTTTTCCTCTGTGAAACTCCTATTCGCTTCTGTTTTTCACTTTTCAAATGTCATCTATCTTTTCCTCTTTTATTCATAGGGCTTTTAAAATATATTCTTGATACTAATAATTTGCTAACTAAATGAATTTTAAATATCTTCTTAGTGACTAAGTGGAGATGGGAGTGGGGGAAAAGGAGTCTCTGCTTTGGGTAGATGATGCTGCTAGTACACTAGGGACTATAATAGAGGAGGGGAAATAGCTCTGGGGGAGAAGGGAATGAATTTAATATATTTTGGAATTTGATGTTCCAATGGGATCTGCTGGTGGAGATGTTTCATAGAAAGTTGACTTTAAGGGTCTGAAGCTCAGGACTGGTCAGTTATGCCACATCAGTTAAGAAGGAACTTTTTTATGATGGGCCTTTCAGAAGGGTACAGTTAGGAATATGGTAATTTCATTTTAAAAATTAATATTTTATTTTTTCACATCACCATTTATACCCTGTATGCCTTTTTCACCCCGCCCTCCAGCAGTCACCACACTGTTGTCTATGTTCTCTGTCTTTTAGGAAAACAGTAATTTTCGAACTCATTTGTCCTCTACCCATCCCAACTTCTCTAGGCTATGGATTCTCCAACTAAAGCATCTCATAATATAAATGTCTCAGTCAAATGACACACCACATACTTCATCATAGTTGTAATTAGTTTATTATTTTTTTGGTCTCTCCAGAAAGCACATCATTTTTATTTTGAAAAACAACCAGCATATTTGTCTTACATGATATACAAAGAAAATACTTAGATTTAAAAATTTATTCTTTTGCTCATTCATGCATATAATTTATACAAGTTATAAACACTGAAAACAATGTAAGAAACATATGTCTAAGAATTCTACTTTGTATAGTTTTTCATTAAATAATACTGTTTCCACATACATTTTTAGACATTTCTACCTTCTATGTATTTTAAATTACATATGTACACACACACACACACACACACACACACACACACACAGGAGCATACAACCACCAGAAGAATCTGAGCCCCTTTGAAGGATGGCAGTAGAAGCCCAGGGAGTAAAGATCTTTCTTTAAAAAGCATGTTGAATTATTTCAATTGCATTCTTCTTAGTTATTTGAGATTCTAAGAACTTTGGTAAGCCCAGAGGCAGAAAGATCGCTTAATAACATTTAAAAGGTATCAAAGGTGAAGAAAGCAGGGCTAGGATTTGGCACATTCACTAAGAATGTGGCACCTAAGCATAGCTTATAATATAGTACCAGGGCAGAGTTACTACTGAACAGCCCTGCAGGAATAACAGCACCGAATTTGGTGACTGGTTCATCACCTTTTAGGAGAACTGCAATCCAGGGACAATTTGGGCTTGATATATACTGTATTTAAGGAACTGATGGTCCATCCTTATCAGTAGTGCAGTGATTAAGCTTCTCTCGGTGTTTGAGATCTTTTAGACCTGTAAGAGAAAGAAGGTATAAAAGTTTGAAACTCTTAACACTGGCTTCAATCTGTGTTCTACTTGAAACTTAACTGATTTCATAGATAACCCCAAGTCCTCAGGTGAAGTGTGTGGTGAGCTTTCCTGCTGCTACACAATCATTGTGGATTATTGGTGCTCCTTTTTAAGGCCAGGAAAGGCTTGGGGGAAGTTTGGCAACTTTGCTTGGATAATTATAGCTCTACCTCAAGGTTGAAGTGATTTGACACTTTTAGACAGTCAGGGTAACTTTTGATATCACAGAGATGGCACCTTGGTTTATAAATAACTGGAGGTAGAGGAGCGGGTATGTTGGTAACACACTTTTAAGCCAAGGATCCCACAGAAAAGCTCAATGCAAATATTTCTAACTTCTCAAGATTGGATATTTCTTAAAGGACAGTTATGCTACAAGCAACAGCAAACCTACCTTTTCTTGTTAAATGCTTTCAGTATATTCTTGATCATCTCAGTCTCTGGATCCAGACATATTTTCTCCCCATTATTTTTCATCGTAGCACTATGAAAGTAAATAGGAGTGAAAATATATAAAATATGTTGGGCCAATAAACAGATGGAATATACAGGTTTTAAAATATTTAAGTTTTACTCTACATGTTCCCCTTTGCTATACAGAAGTCTTAAAATCATCATAAACCCTTTACTGCTTTTGTGATCAATAAATATTTTTTATGTGATTACAGCCAGGGAAGTTATCATCAGATGATATTCTACTCACATGACCTCAAGACTTGGGCAAGATGTACTTTTAGGGATCACTTCAAGTTTTTTTATGGACTTTGGATTAACAGGTTGATGACTAATCTTGATGCAGCTACAGCGACTAGCTCTATTGAGAGGTATTCCTGCAGAAAAAGAGACAGATACAGCAGGGGAGGTTAGCACAGTTTTCATCTTAGGCATTTGATGTGCTTAGCAGAAACTATAATCTGTCATCACATAGTCAACCTGAGAAGGGATTATTCCATTATAAAACAGCTCTGGATGATTAATTAGTCAATTATCTGAATGTAATTGCAACTTGTTGATTTTAAGATCATATCATTGAGCATAGTTCATATGATTAATTAAGCTAACTAAGGGGATATCTGTGTCATCTTCTCTCTCTTCATTCCTTTACATTTTCTATCTTTCCTTTCCCCTTCCCCTTTTGCTCCCACCATTCTCTTCCTCTCATTTACGATATTCCACTTGATTGTCTGATTATTATCTCTGTGACCAGAGGGAATCTTAGTTCCTTTACCTTTCATTCATAGGCAGCTGTTAAACTTCTGCAAATACACTATTTCTATAGTTGTAGAATTTATACCCAGTTCTATTTCTGACCTTACTTTAAATATCCCTTGGTGTTCCTTACCTTTAGTTCCATTCAGAGTCAGAAGGATGAGGCAGAAAATGAGAACAGCTCTTTGGTTCATGGTGCTGTGACTGGAGGTTCCTCTGCAGTAGGCTCAGAATGTCTATGCAGTTGAGGAATGTCTCAGAAAACACGGGGCTAGGATGCAGTATTTATTTGTAAAGGCACCTTTCCTCTCTAACTCTGATTGGATAACATTACGGTTGACTCAGCAAAACCTGCCTTCTGTTCGTTGGGGAAGTCCCAGGTTAAAGAATTGAAAGTATTATTTATATTGATTGTGGCTTTTGAGTTATGGAATTTCCCTCCATCCCCTCTTTTCCATGAAAGTGAGTTAAGTTTCACTTTCCAAATCATGAACTATTTCTTGAAAAACAGAACTTCATTGCATGTAGAGTAATTTTTAAATGGATCTTTGATTTTCATCTTGAACCTCCTGAAAAATAAAAATGTCAACTTAATCCTCAAGTTAAAGGCCTGAATACAATTTTAAGATGAGTATGTCTTAACATTGTGATTTTTTGGTGTTTTTTTCTTTTTCTTTTTTTTTATGGCATAGTGTCGATCAACATTATTAACCCTGTTTTAACAGACAGATTAAGTGAAGATGGGACAATTTAAATTTACATAATTTGCTACCAGGTGTCAGGGTCACAACTAGACTTGGAATCTTCTGACCTAGTCCCATTTTTACACCTGGTATGTGAAGATGGAAAAAACTTGGTCTTTATTCTGTGACAGTGATTTTCAACAGGTGTGCCATGTGATCTCAACACACAACACCTGACTAGTTAGGGACACTGACTTTTTTCCTTAGATTGTCAAATTAAAAAATGACAACCTGCCCAGCCAGTGTGGCTCAGTGGTTGTATTGACCTATTAACCAGGAGGTTACCATTTGATTCCTGGTCAGAGCATATGCGTGGATTGGAGGGGGTTTGATCCTAGTGTGGGGTGTGCAGGAGGCAGCCAATCAATGATTCTCATAATTGATATTTCCTTTTTTGTTTCTTCTACGTGGGATGATTGATCTTGAGCCTGTAGGGAGTAGGCTGGTTCCAGACTTCTTCAAGTTCACATTTCTTTGCCTCTAATTCTTATGTGTCCAAAGATAGGGAGCCACAGACACTCCTTTGTAGGAGGGTTTGGTATTGTGTTTTGTAGTTATAAGGCATGATTAGGAATATCTTATATTTATTTACTTTATGGATTTCAGAGGTATCATTTACTTTCTCATTTTATTCCTATAATAACCCTGTAAGAAGTTATCTTAATTTTATATATGGAAGGATAATGTTAGAGGTTAGATAATTGTATTAAGTCATACAAAGGTTGCCATCCATTTAGTCTATGATGTATTTTCTCAACATTTATTTTAAACTTCTGTAATTACTGTCAAAGGCTAGGAGATTTTTTAAAATGGCTCTAATCAACTTTTAAAAATTCCTCAGTAATAGCAATTTTTCATCTTTTGTAGATAAATCTATTTTTATTGCTTTTTTTTCAGAGAGGAAGGGAGAGAGAGAGAGTTAGAAACATTGATGAGAGAGAAATATCAATCAACTGCCTCCTGCACACCTCCTACTGGGGATGTGCCTGCAACCAAGGTATATGCCCTTGACCAGAACTGAACCTGGGACCCTTGAGTCTGCATGCCAACGGTCTATCCACTGAGCCAAAGCGGTTAGGGCTAATTTTTGGAAATAGTAAGTTAGCCAGGCATTGCTCTGAAATAAAATACTATAAAGTAATAGGTTTGGTCTTCTTGAAGAAGGTTAAAGATATGAAACTTGCAAGTGTCAAAGAATTCCAGAAATGTTTTGGCAATTCATAACATCATTAGAATAAATGAATAGCCTCTAACATAATTATTTTGACAGAAAACAATACTCATTTGGATAATTGATTTCTGGTGTGTTAGTAAAAAATTTTTATATATTATAGTCAATAAAAACATCATAACATGAAGAATGGAGTAAGAAAAGGATTCATAGCTATAAGAGGATTATTGCAAAAACAAAGAATGCTTTTTGAAGAAATACATTTAAAAGAGGGGCATATGCCCTAGCAGGTTTGATTTAGTGGATAGAGCATTGGCCTGCTGACTGAAGGGTCCCAGGTTGGAATCTATGGGCTTGCTCCCTACTGGGCAGTATGCAGGTGGCAGCTGATTAATGATACTCTCTCATTGATGTCTCTCTCCCTCCCTCCCTTCCTCTCTCCTCTCTCCTCTCCTCTCCCTTTCTCCCTCTCCCTCTCTCCCTCTCTCCCTCTCTCCCTCTCTCCCTCTCTCCCTCTCTCCCTCTCTCTCTCCCCCTCCCCCCCTCCCCCTTTTCTTCTCCCTTTCCCTTTCCCTCTCCCTCTCTTTCCCCCCCTCCTTCCCCCTTTTCCTCTCCCTTTCCCTTTCTCTCTCCCTCTCTCTTTCCCTTCCTCCCTCCCTCTTCCTTCCTCTCTAAAATAAAAAACGATCTACACTAATAAAAGAAAAATGCAAATCATATCACTCCACTATGCCCAACAGCCAATCAGAGTATGCAAATTGAACCGGAAAACATGGTGGCAGCCCTGTCCCACAGTTGCTCCCAGCCCGTGGGAGTTGGAGAAGTCAGGGGCCAGCGCCTGAGGCTGGCTGCAGTCACGGAGACCAAGAAGCTGCCTTCCCCATGATCCCAGGCCATAGCCAGCCTCAGGAGCCTCACATCTTCCTGCCTCACGTCCTGGAAGAGACTGAGAAACCGGGCCCCAGTGCCTGAGGCTGGGTGCGCCTGGAGGACAAAGAAACCACCTGCCCCTGATCCCAGGCTATTGCCAGCCCGCCAGCTGGAGAAGCAGTCTGCCCCATGTTCGCCAGCCCCAAGTCCGCCAGCCCCACATCCTGCTGGCTGCAGCCCGGAAGATGAAGCAGCTGCCTGCTCTGTGATCCCAGGTCACAGCCAGCAGCAGAAATCTCAGTCCCCTTGCTCCATGTCCTGAAGGAGACAGAGAAACTGGGCCCCAGCTCCTGAGGCTGGATGCGACCTGGGAGAGGAAGAAGCTGCCTGCTCAGTGATCTCAGGCCACAGCCAGCTGGAGAAGCTGCCCACCCACATCCTGGAGGAGATAAGAAACAGGGTGCCAGTGAATGAGGTTGGTTGCAGCCTGGGAGATGAAGAAGCCAACTGCCCTGTGATCCCAGGCTGCAGCCAGCCAGAGAAGTTGCCCCCATTGCACCTGAGGGAGAATGGAGAAGCTGCCTGCTTATGGTCCAGGCGCCAGCACCTACAGCTGGCTACAGCCTGGTAGATGGAGAAACTGCCCACCCCACAGTCCCAGGTATCAGCACCTGTGGCTGGCTGTGGCCTGGGAGATGGAGAAGACGCCCACCCTGCGGTCCCAGGAGTCAGCACTTGTGGCTGCAGCATAGGCAAAGCTACCTGCCCACCATTCCCTGAGTCTGCAGCCAGCCTGGGCATCTATGGCTGATCAGAGGGAGGGATGCCCGGATCCCGAGTGCCTATGGTTGGCTGGAGGAAGGAATCCTGGGTCCTGGGTGTGGGGCCGAGGCAAAGGTGGTTAGGGGCAATCAAGCCAGCAGGGGAGCAGATGGAGACGATCAGGCTGGCAGGCAGAAGCAGTTAGGGGCAATCAGGCAGGCAGGGGAGCGGTTAGGAGCCAGCAGTTCTGGATTGTGAGAGGGAAGTCCGACTACTGGTTATTCCACCAGGAGTCCCAGATTGGAGAGGTTGCAGGCCAGGCTGAGGGGCACTTCCCCCCCCCCCCCCATGCACAAATTTGGTGCACCAGGCCTCTAGTTTAAAAATAAATAAAAATGAAAGAGGTATTAGTAGAGACAGACCTTGGGACAACAGTATGGAAACAGAGAGGTTGATTTAAGGTGGGTACAGCTCTAAGAAGACTGTCAATTGCAAAGCAAAGAGAAAAAAGTATTAACCATTGAACTGATAATAGTGACAACTAAAATTATCACTATTCCCAATGGTTGACAGATCAGGTCAAAACTTTGTGTCCTATGTTAGCATTAGTACTTGTCTGATTATTCACAGCAGATAATATCAGCAGGAAGTAGATGATACCAATACAGTAAAATTTGTTGGGACTTATAGGGATGTTTAAAAGTGTCCCAGTATGGTTGTGTTCTTTGCAAGGGATTGGTAACATGAGGTGCAAGATGAAATACTGTTCCAAATGCAGGCATTATTCTATAGTGGGAAATCTGATGCAGGTGATAGTTGGAACCTCAGAAAATATCTGGGAAGCCTTTTCATAGTCAGCTAGGCTGGAATAATGTAGATCTAGGCCAGGGAAAGGCAATGCTTAGGCTAGTGCAGTGGTTGGCAAACTGGCTCGCGAGCTGCTGTTTGCAGATCTGTTGACTAATGAGTTTGCCGACAACTGGGCTAGTGTACCTGTAAGTTTCTGGCCCAAAACTTGGTGAAGAGGCCAAGATAAAAGTCCATATCTGCAAACTGGACACACATAAGACTTGGAACCTCAAATGCAGGAAATCTGTCATCAGAACAGTGAATGAATTATTGCTTAGGGCAGGCAGAAATTGCTAGACTGCTGAATTCTAGGTCAGTTTGTTCCAGGGATTTTTAAAATGGGCAAATCAGTGAACTTAGCTGTAGAAACTAAAAAGACAAAAGGAAAGGAAATGAGTCAGTGACTAATACAACCCAGAAGATTTTCATCCAGCAAAGAGACTTTCTTCTTGACAAGGGAAAGTCTTATAAGAAACAGTGACATGAAAAAGCCATTCCGGTAGCTGCTTGTGCAGAATAAAAGTTGGACTATGAGTAAAAATGCCAAAAATCTTCAGAGCAATGTCTGACATCATGGATGAAAGAGGCTCTGAACAGTTCAACATTAAACAATAAAATAGATATAGGGTGATAATTTTGCTTTTCTTAGTATAAGCAAAGAGGAAAGTTGAGGCAGATACCTGCTAAGTGGACTAAATATCTGTTATTAATGAGGAAAAAAATTTATTTAGTTGATTTTTATTAAACACTAGAGGCCTGGTGCACAACATTAGTGCACTCGGAGTGGGAGGGGGAGGGTCCCTCAGCCTGAACTGCAGCTTTTAGCAGTCTGGGAGCCCTCGGGGGATGTCCGACTGGGGCCTAAGGTGCTTTTGGACATCCTTAGCATTGCTGTGGATGCGGGAGAGGCCCCCACCACTGCTGCTTTGCTCCCCTGCCATCAGCCCAGCTTGTGGCTGAGCATCTGCCCCCTGGTGGTTAGTGTGCATCATAGTGACAGGTCATTCTGCCAGTCGTGCTGCTGTTTGATCAATTTGCATATTAGGCTTTTATTATATAGGATATAATTACCTTTCAAATAAGACTTAAAAGATACAATTATACTATCTTTCCTATTTACCCATGTGGTTCTCTGTACTGATGCTCTAGGCTTATTTTCCCCCCTCTCATTTAAAAAAAGTTATTGTTGAAAGTATTATAGATGTTTGCTTTGTCATCCTTTTGTTAACTTGTATGAGTTCCTTATATATTTTGGAAATTAAACACTTATCAGATTTTCATTGGCAAATATGTTCTCCCACAGTGGGCTCTCTTTTTATTTTGTTGGTGGTTTCTTTTGCTGTTCAGAAGCTTTTTATTTTGATGTAGTCATATTTGTTTATTTTCTTCTTAGTTTCCTTTGCCGTAGGATATGTATCTGTAGACATATTGCTTTGGACATAGTTTTAGTATTCACTGATCTGAGTTTAGTTTTGAAAGGAAATAGAAGTAAGGAAGTATCCCATCTTAGTTTCAGTTTCCAATGCTGTTGGTTAATTTTTTAAGCTTTTCATTATGACATCAGTCCAAAAGAGTCTGCCCTGGCAGACTTCTTATAGACCCAGGGGGGAAAATGCTTTTTGAGAAACTAATGTGCTTAGAAGAAATTTCCTAAAAAGCAATAGGAGGAATTCAGTGATTTCTATAAACTGGGAATCCTTTCAGCTAATGTACATTTATACTTCTTAGAAAGTATGAGAGAGGAGAGCAAAGTTTTCCCTTTCAAAGTTTTCACTGAGCTCCCACAAGATCCCCTAAGCTCACAATACCTATAATACTGGTTATATATTTTTGAATTAACCCTTCATAGCCATCCCGAGCAAAGGCCAAAGTGGGGATGGAT